GGTTGGTGGAGGGAGGAGAAGGAGGGAGATAGCAAAAGGGTAAATAAGAGACTTTTTCATAAAGTTTTGATTTTTCCTTTTTAATTTTGTTTTAAAAGATAATCCTTGATATGAACTAGATTCTTGTTCATGTTGAGGGGTAGGAGTCATTAAATACAAGGCCCTGAATTGATTCATTGACTCAGTAAGCTTGTTCTTCTGCTATTTGTATTTTCATTGAATGAAAATTTATTGAGCAACTACCATTAGCCAATCATTGTGCAAGGTTCAGGGAAAACACATTTGCATTTGTCACTGGTGTGTGTGTGTATGTGTGTGTGTGTGTACGCGTGCGCCTATTTTTTCAGCTGCTAATTTTTCCCTTTAAACTTTCTGCAGGATACTGAATAAACTGACACTTGTACAGTCATATGTAGGGCCCCAGCAGTGTTGAGGGCTGCGCTTGTCAGAATCTCATCTTGTGAATTGTTTCCTGATGTTACATGTGCAGCCCGTGATTCCGCTATGGATTGTGAAATGTTTATTCATAAAGGAGAAAGCTCCTTCTGCCCTTGGTTGCTTTCCCTGTTTGGTGGCCCATTTTCTCAGGGATGGCCCCTCCAAGCTCTCTGTGGCCAAGGGAAAATGAGATTTGTCAGCTCTTGGGTTCATGTGGCCTCACGGTAGGCATCAGCTCTGCACTGCTGTGGAATTGAGTGGACATTAGGCAGAGTGTAGAGAAACTCTTGGAGGGGAAATTGGACACAACCTGCCTCTCGCTGGTGCTGTACAAGCCTGGTCCGAGTTTATCTAAGTCTCAGAGAGATGAGAATAGAGGGCCTTGGGAGGCAATTTTTCTGCCCACCTGCTTCCAGGAAGGAGACACTTTCCCTAGTATTTTAGAAGCACTGTGTGAATTGTGTACTGAGAATCGCTGAGAAAGGACCTCCATTTGGGATCCATTTCTCTCATTGTGGATGTGAGGGGACAGTTCAAACTTGCAGGTAGTTTGTGGCAGAATCGGGGCCCAAACTCAGATTTTCTGACTCTAAACCCACAGTGCCTACTAATATTCCATAATAACTGACCCTTCTCAATGTATTCCCTTTATATAAGGCAATTCTAACACCCTAAATTGAGGAAGTATAGAAAGAGCATGGGCTTTGGAATCAGTACAAGGTCAGATCCTGGCAGTGCTTCTTATTATATCTGTGTTAACTTGGACAAGCTACGTGAATACTCTGATTCTTTGCTTCTACAGCTGATGAAGGAGGAAAAGAATATTTATGTTTTAGGGCTGTTTTAAAGATTAAATGAGGTCGTATTTAAAGTACTTTGCATGGTACCCAGCCTATCTTAGGTACCTGATATGTTTGCTACAAAGGAAGAAAGAATACAGTTGTCTCTTGAAAAAAGGGTAAGATAATATTGATTGTCGTGATAATGATGGTGGTGAGGGCTGTGGTGGCAGTGGTGATGGTGACATAGCCACCATTAATCAAACTTTTATTTTTAAACATTTCCTCAATATCAAAGCAACCATATGATATTGTTTACTTTATTTTATACAAGGTCTTTCTGTTTCCAAGTTTTATTTTTTTCTCATTATAATGCTTTAGTTTTCATATTCTAAGCCTCAGTGTGTCAACAATGAATCCGCTAATGAGAGAAGACACAAAGAGATATTTCCCATGCATTTCTCTTTTCACATTTTTTAACCACCTTTCAGGATTGAATGACCCTGTAAGATACACTTTGCTGTGCTTTATGTCCATGGTACATTTAATAAAGGCAGACCATAAATCAGAAATTTCTTGAATTTATTTATAGCACTGTGGACCAGCAGTGGCCAACCCCTTTTTGTTAAGGATCTCAGGATCAATATCTTTAAGATTCCAGTATTTTGATATATACAGATAAGTACCGTATTTTGCCATGTATAATATGCACTTTTTTGCTCAAATTTGTGAGGAAAAAATAAGGATGTGCATTATACATGTGTAGTGCTAATTCCATATCTGTTCTGTTTTTAATTCTTTTATTTATGCTTATGAGTTAAAAGTATAACTTTAGAAATCAATAATGATATCTGTATGCAAGATAATACCCTGGAATATGATCTTCGGTTTTGTTGAACTTACGACGAACTTGCGACAAAGAGTTCTTGGCCTTCTAAATATCAATAATTTGTTACCGGTACATAAAATTTCTTGTACCTTGTATCTGTTCTTGTGTTTTGTAATTATTTGTTACATAAAATTTCTTATACCATGATATGTTTAAAAAGAAATGCTGAAATTCCTTTATAATACAAAAAAAAAGTACCTAAATGTAAATAAATAAATATTTGAATTAAAAGGAAAGATTTTTTTTTCCTGAAAGTTTGGGCCAAAAACGTGCACATTATACACGACAAAATATAGTAAACATTGACCTGGCTATTGGGTTTTTATCGTGGAGAAAAACCTGAAAACCAGCAGTTTGGAATCAGATGACCTGGATGTGACTCCCAGCCCTGTTTCTTGTGAGCCATGACCCTGGTTAAGTTACTTCTCATTTCTCAGCTTTGGTTTTCTCACCTGTAATATGAGGATGATAAGACAACCAATCACATCTGGTGGATGGAAGAATAAAGTGAGACAGGTCCAGAGAGAAAGCGTGCAAAAAGAACTGTTAAAATGAGCTCATACCTACGGTTTGCTTCCTATCCCTCTGTGGCCTGCATCGGGCACAGAGTCATTCAAGGTCTACCCAGAAAAACATAAACTACTGTAAGTATGTAAAAAAGAAGGAAGTTAATCCCCCTCAAATGGTGACCCAGATAATGAAGGAGATAAGAAGCAAGCCAGAGATCAGCACATGGAAGCTGCTACTACTCCTAGCTGGAGGGACAAAGGAAGGAGGTCGTGTTACCAGGGTTCAGAGGTGGTGGACACCAGCAGATATTAGAGCCGTAGAGGCCCTGTCAGCAGCGCTGAAGATGTGGGGGAGAAGTAGACACCAGACACAGGAAGGGGTGGGAGAGAGAGACTCTGGCTTTCCACCTCCTTCAGCCCTCAGGTCTGCTGGCTGACCTGGGCTGACCTGGAGCCAGAGACGATGGTTTGCGGGGGCAGCCCCACAATGCTGAGCAGGGCAGGGGACCTGGTAAAAACTAGTAGACCCGGGACTTTTACAGGCTCAGTCCTGGACCAGTCGCCTGGTGGCTGGGACCTAACTATGATAACCAACACAGAAAGTTTGAAAGAGTCTTACTTCCCCCTACTGCTGGGCCTCTGAACAATAACAGAGGTTCACAAATAAATAGCTGTGCTTGGGAAGGTAGAATCTGGAAAAAAGCATTGGAAAAACTTCGAAAGTTGTTGGAATGTAAGAGGCCTTTCAGCGGCCATCAGATCCTGCCTTCTGGAAAGGCCTGCTGGCTGAGCAGCCAGCACCTTCACTATCTGGGGATTTGTGGCTGGAGGAGAGACAGCCCCCCAGCCTGCCTTTCACCTGGCTCACTCCTACAGAGCTCAGCATAGACCCGCCTCCTTGTGAAATCTCCCGCTGCCCCTGCAGCTCCTCCTGTAGCGGACTATTCCCTGCATTGAAATGCTCCACTTGGGGTTCTCTCTCCTCCCTCTAGACTGTGAGCACCCCAGGACAGGGGCCTGTCTTTTTTACCAGTACAGCCCCAAGCGTTCATACTTTCGTTTCCTACTCTGTGCCAGCAACTGTGGTGGGGGCTGGGCTGCTAAGCACTTGGGTGTGGCAGTGCCAGCTTCCAGCAGCTTTTATGCTAAAAGAAAAGGCAGACAGTGTATCACTTTTTAAAATTACTGGTGTCATGAGTGCTAGGGAGGCCCAGGGGTGCGGGAGAGCATTGGACAGGGGGACTCGATCTCTCCTGGAGGATCAGGGAAGCCTTCTGAGGAAGTGCCATTTAAGTTAGGAATAAGTGGGAGTTAGCGCTACAGAGAGGCTGGGGAATGGCATTTCAGGCAGAGGGGAGAGGCAATGCCAAGGTCTTGCAATGGGAAAGCGTTGCATATTGGAGAGGGAAGGGTGGCATTGTGTGGAACTGATGAGGCCAGCGGGAGCTGTTTGGTCCTGTATCCCAGTCTCTGGGTCCTTCGCCGAGCACTTTTCACCTCCTGCCTATGTTGTAGTTAGGAATGTCCGTGCTTTTGTGGTTCCCACATCATGCCTACTGGATAGTTTTGTGCATAGAAGGTGCTTGCTGGATATTTGAATAAATGGCAGTTCTAGGCTCTGAAAGTCTCTCTAGATCTCTCATCACATTTGTAACTTCACTTGCCCAGCAAGTATCAGGAATACAATCTGTGTAGAGAAGAAGCCTGAGTTTATGCCATTTATGGGAAACTTTCTGTCTGCTGTCTGGCACCCTTTTAGCAGAAACTCACTGTCTGTCACCCTACCCTTTACCCTGCCAGTTCAGCAATAAGTAGTGGTGAGAATGGTGGCCGAGACATGCCCAAAAGATTCAATCCTCAAACCATTTTTGAGGTTGAGATGTGATGTGTTAAACCAGATGCTATTCAACTCTGCTCCTTACTAGCAGTGTGACCTTGGACAGGTCATTTAACCTCTTCATATGTCTTTGTTTCTCCACTGACATGTGTGGCATTAATAATATCAACCTGACAGGCTTTAATAATATCAACCTGACAGGCTTACTATAAAATGAAACTATACATGTAAATATCCAGTACAGTGCCTGATATTTATTGAGCACAAAATCACTGATAGCTGCTGCCTGTATTCTAATTACATTTACTGTTACTATTACAATGTTGGATGCCCTGCATTGACTACAGAGTAAAGCAAAAACAGAACAGGTTTCTTAGTTTTCCCAAGTGGCAGGCAAGTATGCTCTTTTGGTTTCTTTTTGAGACTGGCTTACACATGGAATGCTTTCTCAATGTTGTTTAGTTATTTTTGTTTTTTGATGCTTTATGCTTGTTTTTAGCTATCCTTTTTTTAAAAAGAGGATTCTGTTTTGTTTTGCTTTCTCATAGGAGTGATTGGAGCAGATGTGAGGGGGCGTGGCCTCGCCTGCGAGGGACAGCCAGTGACGTCACGGCTGGCTGTCATCTGTGGAACATCTTCTTGTCACATGGGGGTGAGTCTGCCAGGCCAAGGGCGGGGCCGCACACTCACCGGAGGGCAGCGCAGAGGAGATCGGAGCTGCTGGCCCCCTTTTTACCCCCTCAGCTTCTTCGCTTCCTGCCACCCCTGCTTTGTCTAGCCGGAAGCCCATCTCTCCCTCTGACAGCCTTGCTTAGCTTCGCCAGATCTTCTTCCAGGGGCCAAATTCTTAAAAAGTGTGAAAAGGGCTGAGTCTGCCTTTGACGTCACCCTGGCCAGAGATCCGAGGCAGTGTGAGGGGTGAAATCGGATCCAAAGATGGCAATTCCTTGCTCCCAGACTGATCTGTCCCTAATGGGTAGTAGAGGCTTCTCTGCAGAGGGGTGTCTGTTTTCCTTGGCCACTGAGCTCTCTCTCAATCAATATAAATCTATCTCCCTGGGAGCGGCCTGATGATCTATAGAATTAGGCTGCATATCATGACTTCAAAAGAACACTGATAAGCAATTTTCACTTTGTTAATTTTTCTCCATGAATTAGTGGAAAGGCTTTCTCCAAGATTGCAGTTAAAATTTAGTGCCTGCCCTAAAATTTATACCTTTTTTAAATGCATGAGTCTGAAAGCATTCCATTTCGATAAGTACCCTTTTCTACCATATTTTTATGTAAAAGTCATTACTCTGTTCAACTTAGATGGACGACTCCTTGGATTTTTCCCAGCTGAGTAAAGTAGAGAGGAGAGTGGGGGAGGAGAAGGAAGGGAAATGGGGGAGGCAAGGGGCCCGGGCAAGGATTCGAGTGGGATGCAGTCCAGGGCAGAAGCTGTGAACTGTGAAGCGAATCACGAGTGATGAGAAACTGTGCTTAATAACCATAGGGACCAATGAGCCTTTTTTTAACCTTTAAATATTTGGGTTGAGTCATTATTGATACATGTATTTATTTACTGATCCTCTGGTATTGTGCCTGAGGCTGTGCTAAACCTTGGGGACAAAAGGATGGCATAGGGCCTCTCGTTAATGAGATAGAGTTGTAACCGGTATTCTAATACAAGGACCCCAAACATCATTTCAGACAAGCTTATGATACAGAGCGTCTATTACGTACCTGGCGATGGTCAAGATGTTCTCATACACGGCTTCCCATTGCACAGAGATGGTGGGGCCAGCCAATCGGTTTCCTGTTCCAGTTCCTCCCATTCCTGAGTGTGGGCCCCTGGGCGAGGCACTTAACCCTCTGGGCCTCACATGCCTCCTGTCAATCGTGGAGAGTTGCAGTGTGTGGCTCACAGTATTGCGAGGATGAAATGAGGTTCTAGAACATGCCCCACATAAAGTCAGCACATGCCAGAGGTGAGCTCTTGATTACTGTCATAGCACGAGAGTTGCTGGGCAGGAAGGAGACAGTGACTGACCCTGCCTGGGCAGCGTCCAGGGTTAGGGACAGCTTCCTGAGGGGACATTCGTGTTATGCTGGACTTTAAAGACAGAGCGTTCCTTAACACCCCACCCCACCCCCAAACAAAAAGTTTCCT